TTATAGTGTAGAATTCTACAGGTCATCATAAAATAATATGGGAGTGAAATGATAGAAGTGTGCAGGAGGTGCTTTGTTTGCATCCTGGGGCAAGTGTGTGTTTGTGTGTGTATATCAGGGAAGACTTTCTGGGGGAGGTGTTATCTGAGCTGTAATTTAATTAGCAAGTAGGAAGTTATTAGGGGCCAGGGCCAGACGGGGTGGTGGTGGGAGAGGATGACGATTGGTCTGGAGGGACAAGTAGAACATATCTGTCAGAAATCACACGCTGGGGCGCAAGGAACAGGTTGAGGAATGGTCCTCAGGGGGTGGACTATGAGGGCTTACTCTATGAGGGCTAGGGAACCCAGATTGTAGTATTCTATAGGCAGTATGGAGCCGTTCATTCATTCCACAAACATTTCCTGAGCGCCAGCCAAGTGCTAGGCACTGAACTTGATAGGCAGATGCAATGGCAAGCAAACCTGACCAGTTCCTGTCCTCAATTCTAGTGGAATTGAACTGGGAAGTGATTTGACTCAACTCTTTAAAGCGGGGAAGGCCTGAACAAGACCAGCAATCACTAGGTGAAAAACGAAAGATTTATTTATGAACTATTTAGGGGTAAAAGTGAACAAGACTTGATGACTGATTGGATGTCTGGGGGAGGGGGGAGATAGGTGTCATGGATGATCCTCAGGTTTATACCATGGATAGATGGGGGTTATACCTATTGGGATCAATAACAAAGAAGAATGAGTAGGACATTGGTCAGAAGACGAAGAGTTTAGCTTTGGACTTGTTGAGTGAGGTGAAGATCTTTGCATGGAGAGGGTTTAGCAGGTAGTTGGGCATACAAGTCTAAAGACAAAAGAAAAGATCCAGAGACACGAATTTCGTGGCATATGGGTGAGAACTCAAATTACAGTAGTGAAAGGAACTTCTAACGAAAACATGGAAAGTGATATGAGGACCGGAAGTTATGCCGCAAATTAAGGCATAGATGGATAAAGGATGCAAAAGATGGAAAGAGGAAAAGTTACCAATGGATAACTTTATTCAGGAGGAAGGATAGTTTGGGAAGTTGCAGTTCATCTGTTGGAATATTGGTGGAACAGTAAATGATGAATGATTCAGGTTAGTTCCTTAAGCCTTGACTGAGTGCTGAGCATGCACCATACATTGTACTGAGCCAAGAAAGAACAAGAGAGGGAAGATCCAGCTTTATCCTTGCCCTGGAGGAGCCTGTGGTCAAGGAGATCATTGCCTCTATTTGACTACCAGATACCAGTATAATTGCCTTCTGAGTAAAAAATACCATTTGATGAATCTTAGCATAGCATCATTAAAAAAAAAAACCCCTTATTTTCAAGCATTTTTGAGAAATGATAGAAGGCATGGGAGTGTTCAAGCCGTTGAAGAGAGAAAACATGGGGAGAATCATATGCTTGCTCCACATATTTAAAATGGCATAGACAAAATGTGAGTGGAAATTAGAGGGAAATGAAACCCGTTTGTATGTTATATATTTGTATATTGACCAAGAACTTCCTGATGGAGCAAAGCCTCTCACTGTTGGCCTGCATTTATGAGGAAAGAAATAATGTCTGGAGGACGATTGGGCTCTCAGTATCAGGTTAAAGTGTTGACTGCATGATCTTGAAGGTCTCTCCAGCCCTGGCTTTTCCATCTAGCCCTGTGAGTTTCTCCTAGAACAGTGGTTCTCAGACTTTTAAAGAATCACATGCCCCTTTGACAATCTGATGAAAAGTTATGGACACTCTCCCCAGGGGAGGAAAATGCAAGTATGTCCATAAACACAATTATTGCTAAAACAAGCCCCCCCCCCAAGTCTTTAGGAGGTCTCTGGACTTCAGGTTAGGACCTGTTGTCTCAATGGATTTCCAATAGATGAGAACATAGGCATCGCTTACTCTGAAATTATATACCTTGAAGAAAAAAGCCTTTTTGGGACTTAATTTAGAACCATGACTATGGTTTGCTATACATCTAATGCAATGCATCATTGATTTTATTCTGTCAGCTTTACTTTACAAGTGGCCCCGAGCAACTCACAACTTCACAGATATATGTACATAATCGTATGCACATATCTTATTTTAAAAATAATAATGATGCTGTTCGGTGTAACCACAGAGAGTCACAGAGATACGTTATTGTAACTGAGATTCTCGGGTAGATGGATTTTGGGGGAGTTCTTTCTGATTAGGGCTGTCTTACATATTTATGCCAGAAGAGTTCATGAGCTATTTCTGATACTTAGACTTTAATCATGCTTAATGAACTGAACTAAACATAATTCTTGTTCTGTTTTGGTAACCTTGTGGATTTCTCCTAATGCTCAGTTTTGTATGACTATACCGTTCTTGAAATGCTAATACCCAAAATGCTAATTCAAGAGAGGACCACAAAAGTTAGATTTCATTTCAGAGAAGGGCATTCAGTATTCACAGGCCTCTCTGGAAGAGCAAGGCTGTGAGAAGAGTGATATTAGGTGGAAAATATTGGCTCCTTCCTTTGGTGAACACACAAATTTAAACATATAGGTTGCACAAAATTTGGATAAACTGAGGTGGAATCCAACATTTCTTGCATGAATGCCTGTATAATGTGGCGATAGCTGTGAGAAAAGAGGAGCCCGGCATCTAAGACCCAACACAATGAAAATGCAATGAATCGGAATGCCTCACAGATCATAGCGGAATCAGAATTTCCAGCAAGGAAAATCTTTTCATGGTGAATTAAGTGGTGGATGAAGAAAAATGGTGATGAAAAAAGGTAGGCACAGATCACAAACACTGGGCTCAGGGCTCACTGCTGAAGATTTAAGAACCTTAGCTAAAGCTATGCAGAATAGAATGTGGAAAATTGAATTTACTAAACAATTAAGCATTGAATTAATCTACATCCTGCACAGTAGAAAAGTGGGGGAGGGAGCAGAGCAGAGCTGAATAAATCAGTGGAGCTCATTAAAAGATAGTGAATATATCAGGTCTGTTGTAGCATAAAGGAGGACAGTTTCCTGTATAACATGGAATAATTCTTGGGTTCTAAATCACCTTTCTGGAGTCCTAGTCTTAATCAGATTAACAAACATGCTTCTGATGAGGTTGTTCTGTTGCTCTGTATTTTAGCTTGTTATCGGTAGCTTTTCTATTAATTACAAGTCAGATCACCAGTCAACAATAGTAGTGAGGGACAACATAAATAAAATGAGAGAGCCCAGGAGATGTCACTTGCAGGATCTCATGCATCCTGAAACTCCCACGGGTTCCTGCAGCCTCCCACATGCCTTGCCGGTCTTTTGTTCAATTACAGTTAATGCAATACTTTGCCATTTTCTCCTTCTAATTATATTTTCAAGTGGGATTTGTAGCACATAGAAAAACATCCTTTTACATGTCGAGGCACCGGGGTTTTGTGCCTGGCATTGTCTGTCCCCTGGGTGCTGTACCATTCTTTCTGCAGAGCTCTGAATAAACAAGTCCCCCTTTTAGAGCTGCAGTTGTACAAACTGAAAATTTATGCATTAACTGTTTGCATTCTGAGCATGTGTTCCAGATTACGTCTTCCAGCATTCTTCTGACATGCTGCAGAATGCGTGTTTGTCAAAAGCTCTTCTCTCACGGCGCACATATCTTTCAACCCCAGCATCAGCGGATCAATTAGCACCGTTTTTGAGAATATGCATAACGGTTGAGTCAGACATACAAGTGGTGGCTCTTTCTGCGACTTTATTTCATTGGGGGGGGGGGGAGGGGCGCGTTAATCTCCCGGCCAAGATTCTAGGGTAGGTGGCAGGCAGGCATCCTTTTCAGGAACAGGGACTCTTCCTTTGATTCTTACACAGCACGCCTCTTAGATGGGATCTTCCCCTTTCTCTCCCTGGGTGTCAGAGGCATTTTGATCTCCTCAGCCTTTCTTATCTTCTCTGGGACACGAAAATACTTCTCAAGACATAAGCAGAGAGCAACTCTGATTTTGCTAGGCACATTTAAAATGTTGGGAGGGTCAGTAAACTTTACTACTACACGGCCACGAACCGGGACATCCACTGACCGAAACGAGGTACGCATATTTTACACACAAGATCATCTTGCCTTTGCCACTAATAATCTTGAAGACAAATACCACTTCCCAGCCAAGAAACAGCTTTCTCTCCTGCATCATTCCTACTGTGCAGGATGACCAGTGACTCATAAGGCTGTTTTTGAAAGCTAGCACTAAAAGCTAATTAAAATCTTTTCTGGTGATAAAGGGAGATTTGGGAGAAGTGTTGCCATGATTGTTTTCCCCAAGAATTTAATTTACTGCCAATTTCTCCTATCTGAATGTTACTTTCAAATGCACCCAGTGATAAGAAGCAACATCTGTTTTCCGTTCAATAGTACAAGAAGGCTCGGCATGGGGCTGAGTGTACACAGTCCGTGTGAATCTATTGTTATTCTCATTCCTTTTTTGTCGCTGTGCCTGGTCCATTTGCCATGTACCATCCGGCAAACAGCTGACACATACTAGCTATTATGGACCCCGGCCTAATTGTGAGATCTTAAAAGCTCTGCCATGTTTGTCTTCTAGGATGAATCAGAGGCCTCTCTAAACCGCAGCGCTATAGACCACGGCTCCCATTTTGCATTTTCAGAGTAGTAGCAGACTGTTGTGCCAGAGGGTTTGTTGATGTTAAGAATATAGTCAGAATCAACTGGCAGCATTCCCCCCCTCCCCGACTTATTGGCCTGGGATGTTTTTGTTTTCCTTGGTAATAAAGCATACAATTACTTATAGAATAACTATTTATAGATATTATTTTGGCTCAGAAGCAGAACTTGGCAAATTTTCAATGTGCCAATGTAGCTCCAAGCTGATTTGTGAAGGGGAATGGGGAAGATGTCTTGGCTGTCCGTCCTAGCCTTCCACAGCTTCGTCCTTGTATGATGGGATCCCACCGGACCAGTGTTAACAGACCACTCGATTTGGATTTCTGATTTGTGCCCCCACAGCCCTCTTGGAACAGAGATCACGATGACACGGCATCGACTCGTTCGGGAGGAACCCCAGGCCCTTCCAGCGGTGGCCACACCTCACACAGTGGGGATAACAGCAGTGAGCAAGGTAGGAGAGGCGTTCTCATTCTCTTGTGCTACTTGTGTCATTTTTAAGGGTTGACAAATCAGAAATGTCTAGTTAGTTCCTATTTGTGCAGTTTTCCCTAGAACATAAGCCCCTTAGAGTAGGAGAGTTCGCTTCTCTTATTTTATTCTCCAGACCCTTTCTTCTTCTCTGCCATCCCAGCTGCCTAACTGCCGGTCACCTGGCCACCTCCATAAAACAGGGTCGGGGAATTGACTGAGGGCAAGGTTAGAGGAGATTAGAAGGTCAAATGTGCGTCAAGAGCATGTCCACTAATACCCTGCGATACAAATAAAAAGTAGTATTATTACTTGCCCTAAGAGGCTTCTCAAGAGATCATGAAGAAACATCTTCCAAGATTCCAAATCAGTGGTGTCTTCAGATGCTTAGAAAGCAGTGGGCCTCTTAGGAACTCATGCTGGGCTTCCCTCTCCACTGGGTTGAAAGCTGTTTTTTCTGGATTTACTCATCCGAATCTCTTAAGTGTTCGACTTGATCGCAAAGTCAGACTACAGGGACTTAGGAAGAAATGAAAAGAAGCCAGATCAATTTAGCTCGTATTGTTCCTTGAATGCACATATCTGTGTGCGTATTTGGGTGTCCATTGATGTGCACGTCTGACCGTGACTAGTAGGAAAGAAAGTTTTAAAATAAAGTTAATCTTCAGCAAAAAGGTGAATGAGTATTCAGATGTCTTGTACTGCCTTCGGTGAGACCCACTGCAGTGGAATTTTGTGTTCAATTAGCGCAACCAAAGCTTAAGAGCGTATTCTCTGAGTATAAAAAGACAGCTTTATTGAAGTTGACTCTGAGCCCACAGTAGGTGCATACTTTAAAATCTGGTTTGATGATCATGTTTCGTTGGATTGCCATTGGATAACAAAAGAATTTTGTTTTCTCACATACACTGGGCTGGACCAATTAGAATTGCAAAGTCTAAAATGAATTTGACATCATTAATTTGAAAACAAAACCAGGAAAGTTCATTTTTTTTTTTAAGGCACATGTATGCTACTTGAACTGGGAATAGCTTCTTCACATAGAATTTTAAGCATCTGAGATATTTTATTGTTCAAAGAAAAGTTGCTGACTCCACCACAACTCTAAGTGTAGTAAAAATGGAGCGCAGGATAGTAAACCAGTTCAGAGCTGAGGCAGAAACATGTAACCCCTGACCTCTGACTTTTACTGGAAAATGATATGCAGCATAAATCCATGGGGCCTTTTCTCTTTCAAGTGTGTGTATGTATATGTGATGGTGTTGCTGCTCACGGGGCTGGGGCTAAGGTGATGTCAGCACTTTCAATATGAAGCCCTTATTTTCAACTTCTTCCATGAGTTTTCTAAAAGGTGTAAAAGAAATCTAAATTCTTCTTCCTGTACTCCAAAATTGCTACATGAGGTCATAGCCTCTTGTTTTGTTTCTTTTTCTTTTTCATTTTTTGCTTTAAAATATATATATATCGTCTAGGAACAGGCAGATAGCTGCTGCTTTGAAGGCTTGCAAACTGCTGAAATGTACTTGAATTTAAAGTTGTAGCATATACGCTTTCTCAGACATTATCTGTTAAATGGATTTTGAGAGGGCAAAGGCCCTGTCCCAGTTCTTCCCCCGTGACCCGTCATAACAAGGAATTAGGAATTTTGCATGTTTCCTTTTCCTTCAACAAGTGTTCTCCAAAGGCCAATTTAATAATGAATTTGATTGTAACCAGGAGACATGTATCTTTCACATTACCTGAGTTTTCTACTTATATTGCTTCTCTTTTGTATTTTTTCATATAAGATCACCACCTGGTTCTGTTTTGGGTTTTTTTTTTAAGAATTTTCACATAAATGTTATCATTTGAATGAGCTCAGTTGAACCTTTCTAAAACAATCCTGGTCCCATTTGACAGAGGAGGAAAATAAGGCATGGATGCGCTGAGCACTTTGGGGAGGTCCCGGTGCAGCATCAGACCCCAAATTTCAGTTTCCTGATTATTTGTCTAAGATTCTTCTCCTCATGCCCTCTTTCCCGGCTCTCCACTAAAGAACTAAGCCAACGACTCCCACCGTGATCCAAAAGAAGCTTTCTGTGTAGACTTCCCTCCCCCCACCCTTCTGCCTACCCCCGTGCCCAGCACCTTGAGAGCTGGGGTGCAGGGGGCCCTCCTTTGGTCTTACCTGCCCTTCTCTGTGGCTTCTCGTGGGCAGTGTGCTTTCTCCCCTGCTAAAGGCAGAATGATGCCTGCGAGTGTTGCCGCCATTATGTCTGTGCATTTCCATGCCAACCGTGACCCTTCTAAACCTGTTTTCATCCCTGAAACCTGTGGAGCTGGGTCTTTGTGCAGCCTTTGGATTAACTGTGCACAGTGGCTTTTCCATGTTTGCCCTGCCTGCCTTTTCTGGCAGCATAGACGTGTAAGCTGTGCCAGCATTTGGCCCATAGTGCATGTCCTAAATAGTTATTTACACAGTTTGAGTCCATTTTAGTCAACTGGATAAATAACAGCCCTCTTCAAAAGATTTTTAAATCCATAAATATGTCTTTATACATACCCAATAGACAGAAATAACTCAATCTGTCAAAAACATATCCAGAGAGGTGTTTCCCCTACAGACAGGAGTAATACATATTTTAAAACTTTCTCTACCTACTGTTTGTACTGTGTTTCTTTTTCCTCATTCCTTTTCATTTTTCACCACTTCATTATGGCACCTGTGGTACACACACACATACACACAAAAAAAAAAAAAAAGAAAGAAAAGAAATCCCTAGGCTCTAGTCCTCTGTTAAATAACCTTATCTGTGCATGACGTAGGCATACAACAGGCTGTGTCTCAACCGAGTCCTGTTCTTTTGGACTTTCAAAGTAAAAAAAAAAAAAAGTCATTCAGGAAATGTGTAATGTTCTGACAGATTTCAAAATACAATGACAATTCCTAGTTAGCCTTCCAGCAATTTGGGGGATTTTGAGTGCCTGATGACTTGCCAAATTAGCGGCTGTTGTGATTGATGGAATAGTTTTAGTCCAAATTTTTACCTAAGCATAAAAATATAAAACAGAAAATCCAATGCTGGGCATTCTAAAGAGAGCATATGCAAAAGATACATAATTAAGAAGATGCTAAAGATTATTATTCTTCAGGGATTTAATGTTTATTCATGATTTACATCTTTCCCCCAACTCAAATTGTTTATCATGGTAACTTTTCCTATGGCATCTACTTTCATGTAATATTAACACTTGTGGCCGCTTGCAGGAAATTGATTCTTTAATAGTGGCACTCCTTTAAGTTGGCATTGAAAAGGAAGCCCTGACATCTGTATTCGGTTGGGGGTTCCGCAGCTGTTGTTGCAACATTGATTCTGTGTAGTCCTTAACTTCCTCAAAGCACTTCCAAAGCTCTGGGATTGAATTCCAATTTTATCCCTGTCTATTATTTGCCCCTTTCCCATTTCAGAAGAGAAAAAAGTACAGAAATATTGAAGAAACTGTCGGAGTCAGCTCTAGGATCTTGTCTCTTGGCTTTGCTTTGTAACTACTTTAGGATGGAGTGTTCTCACGAACCCAGGCAGAGTCTCATAAATAAGATGAGGTGCACATTGGCAGATACATGACCCTTTCGTGTCTTTTTTATCCTATCGTGTACGGCTGCCCTACTGACCAGATCCAGGGTCTACTCTAGGAAGCAGGTGGCTTGGAGCCAGAGAACACCAAGCACATCTGGTGCCTTTCCCCACCGTATTTGAACTCTTTCCCAGGAGGGCTGCCGCAGTCACTCTACAACTCACAAGCAGCTTTAGATATGACTGACCATGGTTTGCGTTTGGGCACATCTTCCTTTTTTTTTTGTTTTTGTTTTTGGTTCAACATCAAGAGAGATGAGTATATAATAGTAATAAAATAATACAATAACATATTAAGGGCTGTCAGTCAGTGTAGGTATTTCCCTCCCTCACTTTGTAAAGATCACAAAGGTTTAGAGAGGCTAGGAGACTTGCCCAGAGTCACATACGGGTCCGTAGTAGAGTCAGGACCCGAACCCATACAGTGTGACTCCAGAGCCCAAGCTCCTAATGCTTGTGTCCTCCAGTGCTTTCATGTGGCGAGGAATGGGAAACAGATCATTGATGGACACTCTTTCTGTTACCAAGTTGGGGTCTCTTCTCCCCGTGTCTGTACGGGGCCTGGCCCTGTCTCTGTAAGGGTGACGGAGCCGGGAATAGGCCAGAATCAATGTTAGCCTCAGGGGGGTTATACTCTGCTGGGGAGTGAGAATCTAGTTTCTTGTGTTAAGTAGAATGATTGAGATATTTACAGAGGAGCATGATGATTGATATGATTAATTTGTATTGAGAGCCTATACCATTTCGCTCAAAGATTTATTGAATTGAGAATAGGAGCATAAAAAACAAATAAGGCCCTTTCTTTTGCGGAGCATTTCCCATTTAAAGCTCGTCTCATTTTCCTCTTTTGTGAGGAAAAAGAAAAAGTATTATTTCGATGTTGAAATTTGATGTAAAACATCTCAACTCTAAAGGGCTTTAATGATTGCTGAAACCTCTAAAACCCACTTCTGAACTTCTCCTTTTGGGGCCAGGACTCAGTTCCACAATAGTATCTTTGCTCCCACTTCAAAAAAAAAAAAAAGCAACACCGGCATGTTTCTTTAAAGAGGAACAATTGAAAAGCACTGCTATTTCTTTATACTAATGTGTCAATAGTTGCAATGCCTCCCAGTGTCCCCTCCGCCCCCCACCCCCGCACTACCCCCCCTCCAGCTTTTGTCAGAGTTCAGGCAACCTATAGGCAGAAGGCAATCCCATTTATTATTGAAGGGAATGTGAAGGCCGTTGTTTTAAGCTTGCAGGCCAGCAGGCAGAGCCGACTGGGAGGGGGCGGGGAGCAGGGAGAGGGGCGGTGGGGAAGGGCCACATTACGTTCCAGATGACTAAGCAACGATTTATATACCCGCTCGCCTTTTTACATGAAGAA